GGGGGCGGGGAGAATTATGTTCGTACCCCGCGACATGAATTTTCAAAAGGGGGGGGCCCAAAGTTATATTTCTCTCCCAAACTCGCGGGACTCCCCCTCATTTTGGATTTTTGGGCCCAGGGGGATAATCGTAAAAAAAAAAGGCCCCCTTCCCAGGGAAAAAAGGGGGAGGCTTGGGGGAACACCGGCCCCACTAGGGATCCAAAGTTTATCAAAAAAAAAACAAAAAACCCTTTTTAATTCCCCTTCCAAACTCCCCCCCCTTGGGGAAATCCCGGGACCCCCGAAAAAAAAAAAAAAATTTTTTTTGGGGTTTTTTTTCACAAGCACAACCCGTTTTCGGTTATTTAAGCGGGGGGGGGGCCAACCCCCCCCCCCCCCCCCCCCCCCCTGGTCTACCGTCTACCTGTCTAACGCTTGCGATTGACACTGCGACGTCAGTAATTAAACAGGAGCAATTTGCCAAGTAGGACTCACCATCTGGAAATACATTCCCCTCTTCGCAATGAGTGCTGCATGATCTCCCTTCTCGACGATCTGTCCGTCGGCCATGACGAAGATGATATCGGCATTCTGCACGGTAGCAAGCCTGTGCGCAACCGTGATCATGGTCCTCTGCCCTTTTGCCGCATCAAAGACAGCCTGTACCTCCCTCTCCGTCTCGCTATCGAGGCTGCTCGTCGCCTCGTCGAGGAGAAGAAGCTCCGGCCGCCTGATGAGCGCTCGGGCGATGGACACGCGCTGTTTTTGGCCACCTGAAAGAGCGACGCCCGCGGCGCCGACGGGCGTATCGTAGCCCTCGGGCAGGGAGGCGATGAAATCATGGAGTCCTGCGTCGCGAGCAGCGCGATGGAGGTCTGCATCCGTAACGGAGGACTCGTTGGGCACGCCGAGGAGGATGTTGGCGCGGAGACTGCCGCTGAAGATGTTGGCTTCCTGGGAGACGAGAGAGAGGTTTAAGCGGTGGGTGCGGAGGTTGAGGGAGAGGATATTTTGGGCGTTGATAGCAATAGTGCCTGTCTCGACAGAGTAGAAGCGCTCGAGGAGGGAGATGACTGTGGTCTTGCCAGAGCCTGTTTTGTGTGAGCTTGCAAGCGTTGAGGGAGTCTTGGAGGTAAGAGCATACCTGATGGACCGACGATGGCGGCAAATTGGCCCCTTTTGATCTGGAGGTTGACGTCAGTAACATACTCAGACACACGATCTGAAAGAGCACTCACCTGGAGGCTCAGTCCCTTCAACACTGGCCCCGGCCGTGTTGGGTAGTTGAACCAGACGTTCTTGAACTCGACGTGAACCCCCTTTTCATCAGGGACGTCGTCCAGTTGTCGGGAGCCCACGCTATCTGCATCCACATCGTCGTCATCGTGTTCTCGCATCGCCAGGATTCGGTCAGCTGCAGCGGTTGCGTTCGCAATATCTGTCCCCGTTAGAAGATGAGGTGAAAATGCCATGTTGATGTCTTACTCGGACCATAGCTCAGCCACTGCCCCGCACTCATGCCGCCTTGAACGACTGCAATATACACGATCACTATCCTTGTCAGTTTCCAACAATGGTGAAGGAAGTTGTTCGCAGTGGACTCACTGTACTGGAAAGGTGAATATTCATGTCGAGCAAGCAGATGACCTCCGTACCTAGCACAGTCAGCTCGATACTCACTCCGTAGTCCGATGAAAGTCTTACCAGAGCACAAATGCCATGCACAGAAGGGAGATGCTATCACTGAAGGAGAACAGCATCACCGAGAAGACTGACTTGCGAAACGCGGCACCAATATGGTCGCGCAACAGGTTCTCGTACCGTCCACAGATGCCAGCCTCCATCGTCAGACTGGACACCGTCCTCATGGCAGCGATGCTCTCCGACGCGAATTTGGCGCTCTCGGCGAAGACGGCGTTGTTCATCGCCTCGAACCCCATCTCGTGTCGCACGCGGTAGTACATGGCCGCGACGATGAGGGGTGTCGAGGTGCACAGCGCCACAATGGTAAGCTTCCAACCAAAGACAAGGCCGACGACGACACAGCCCACAACGTTGAAGACGGATACAAGAGCGAATGCCATGTTGGTGCCCAGGAGCTGCTGGAGCTGTGTTGGGTCCGTGGCGAGGCGGGCGGTGAGGGCGCCAGCCGAGTTTGTCTCTGCATCGAAGAAGGAGGCGGACTTGGAGAGCATGTTGGCAAAGTATTCCTTGCGGTACGCACGGGTTATGCCCTGTATGTGTCATTAGCGTCTCATAGTTGGGCGAGAAGTGAGGAACGCACGAAGCCTATGCTGGTGGTGGACCAGCAGAGGGCGAGGTAGCTGAGGCCGACGCCGACGGCAAGGTAGAAGAACCAGAGACACCAGTAGTCTGCCATCTCCATAAGAAAGCTTCCCCAAAATGAGAAAAGTGAGACAAGGTTGGCGAAGAGGTATGCCTGTAATGGCGTGCTAGCTGAAGGAGAATGAGCAAACGTGGAACAAGTTGAAAAAGGGAAATGTCCGACTGACCTCCAGCACCCAATGCTCCAATGAGAATCACGGTATATACCGGCCATCTGGATGTCTGCTCAGACAGAAGGGTACCAAAGCTACCAAAAGGTCGTAACAGGCGGTCGAATCTGCCTGGTCGCTGGTCCGGGCCTTTAATGACCCTTAGAAGTGACTCCTCAGCATCAAGCAGGTCGTCGCCAGAGTCGTCATCGTCAAAGTCTAGACCACGCCAACTATCCCGGCTCCTCCGCCGTGATCGCCTATCTTGACTGACCGCCTTCTCGTCAAACTCTCCCAGAATGTCTGTCTCTTCGGCATAAGCTGACTTTTCCCCCGTCCCTAGATCACATGATGAGCTGTCCAGGTCGCTGTGCGCACCACTTCCCATGTCCAGCTGCTGCGCTGTAGCGAGCGCGTGATATGCACCACCGACCTCCTCCATGAGGCTCTCGTGCGTTCCTTGCTGGATTACCTTGCCATGGCGCAGGAGCATGATATTATGCGCCTTCTTGATGGTGCCGAGACGATGTGCGATGACAATCGTCGTGCGTCCTCTGCAGGCCCGGTCGAGGGCCGCTTGGACAATTTGCTCGCTGCGCACATCGATGGAGGATGTTGCCTCGTCGAGGATGAGAACCTTGGGCTTCTTGACAATGGCGCGCGCGATAGCAAGGCGCTGGCGCTGGCCACCGCTGAGCTTGATGCCAGACTCGCCAACGGCTGTTTGGTAACCCTGGCGAAGTAAGCATCTTGGTCAAGGGCACGGACGCCTGAGAACAGGCAAGGAAACGTACATCAGGCAGGCGGGCAATGAACTCGTCGGCGAAAGCATCTCTGCACGCTTCCTCGACGAGCTGGGCCTTGACGTGGTCGACTTCGCACTCCCACTCTGTGCCGATGAGGCCGTGCTCGACATTTTTGTAGATGGTTGTGTTGAACAGAGCATTGTCCTGCTGAACCAGGCCGATCTGGTTGCGCCACCATTTGGGGTCGATGTCGCTGAGCTTGTGGCCGCCTACGGTGACGAGACCGTTGCGGAGCCAGAGAACCTGACTTGTTAGCCATGAAGCGTACCAGGGAGGGTTCCGATTGCAGCGTACTAGTTGGTTCGTGACGGGATCGCCGTTGAATTCATACCATCTTTCCAGGATGCCGACGATGGTGCTTTTGCCGGAGCCAGAGGGACCGACTATTGCCGTGACTTTGCCGGCTGGGAAGCAAAGGTTAAGGCCTTCCAGAACCTTGACGTCCGGACGAGTCGGATAGACAAAATTGACGTTTTCTAGGACAATGTCGCCGTCGGCTGAGACTTCAGGCGCCTTGAGTGTCCCGTACGTTGTCTTTGGGGCGTCAATGATTGTGTGAAAGATGGCGCCGGCTGACGCAGCTTGGGACGCGGCAGAGAGAGGCGCCGTGATCTGTCCGATAGAGGAGGCCATGACCATGACGCATAGAAGTACGCTGTATGCGTCAGCTTCTGGAATGGTTCTATGCAGTGACTAGGACCTACACAATCAAAGGCTCGGGGCTGGTAATGGCCATCATGGAGTATAGCATGAAGGCATACCAAAAGGCCAGGGCAAAAGTACTGAGCACCCGTTAGTCGCTCAAATCTCTCAGAGTATCTCTCAGGGGCAGGAATCAAGAGTCATACGCATATATGGCGAAGAAAACTGCCAAGTCAGCGGTCGTTGATACCGTCAGAAGCATCGAACTCACTCAGAGACTGTTGCGCCGCTACGATCCACGCCAGCCCGAAACCCTTATGCCTTGTCTCGTCTACAAAGCTCGCATACCTTGCTGCCATCTTACCTTCCGCTCCACAAGCTGCTAGCATCCTCCACGACGAGAATGCTTCGGTTGAGACGGACGCGGCTTGCACCTCAACTGCCTGCACTTCGCCCATGATACGTACTACCGGCGGCGCGGAGAGCAGATAGACGATGGCAATGAACACGAGACCCGTGCTCGTGGCGAGGGTAAGCATCCAATTATAGGAGAGGGCAATGCAGAAGCCTGCGACAACGGTGGCGATGCTGGAGAAGAAGTGGCCCATCTTTTCGGATATGCCGTTCTGGAGAATGCTCGCCGTCGTGGTGATGATGGCGGCTGTCTGACCAGGAGGGAGCATATCGAGCATGGAGATTGGAAGCGTGAACAGGGTCCGCAAGTAAGTCAAGCGTATGACAGCTGAGATGCGGAGGCTGGTCATGCGGAAACCGAGCTAGGGAAGTATCAGTCTTATTCAGAAGCTTTAAGAAGTGAGACAAACGTTGGCGATGTAGGTCAGACATAGTCTTGCGAGGAACAAGTACACCATGTACAAGCTAGGCACGTCATAAGTCCAAATTCCGGAAGCCTACGTGAGAGAAGGACTTACACGCCGACATTGACAGCGTCGAGAAACTCCTGTTCCGTCTCGTCGGAGCCTTGTTTGAAGAAGCCGGTGAAGACACCGACAAGCTGGCCTATGCATGGTCAGACATTGAAGGGATTTGTAAGAATTTGGTCATCCTACCAAACAGAATGTTCATCAAAGGCATCGTCAAGCCGGCGCCGACGGCGGCAGCCACTGACACGATGAGCACCAGTCTGTCCCATGCCGTGGCATATGACAAGACTCTCTGGAGGCTGGTCAGCAAACAAACAGGAAAACTATATGGCATGAAACGTACAATGAAATTAAATATGGTGATCCAATGCTTGGGGTCGATCTTCGGCTTCGGCTGCGTCTCCTCCGTCTCGTCCGCCGGTGCGGCGCTGGCACCATTGTCGGCCATCGGAGCGGGCGCGGCTCTCTGCATCACAAGCTCCGCAATGACCGGGGTAACCAATAAGAAAACCACCCGGACAAATGGTAAAATGATTGAGAAAAGTGACAGGCGGAATCGGATGAATGAGGGACCAGCCTCAACTCAGAAAAGTCATGAGCAATAGCAGACGGAGAATGTATTTGAAGCAAGTATTAGATGCAACGGTCCAGGCAGAACATGAGCGCAGACCCTCCAGGCGCCGACTCAAGGTTCCGTACAGCAAGAAAGATACCGGCTGCTTAGGGAGTGAGAAGGAGCCGAGCCCTGGGCCATTGTGGTTTTCCTTTTGATCGTTGTCGAAACGGCGGTTGAACCAGCAGCCTAGTGGCGTGGGCTCGAGCACAAAGACCACACGGATGTGGCCGGGAGCGCGGGGCACGCGATTGTTTGGGTGCTAGCTGAACTAACAAGTTTGAAACAAGATTGTTTGAACGAAGGCCCTGTGTGGAGGTTCCATTTGCGCGCTCTGCACGTTTTCCTTGCAATTGAAAGGTTAGCGGGACGGATGGCTGGCTACCTCAGGTTGGCCACATCGCGGTGTTGGGAAGATGCCAGCATCTGTTCTATTAAGCGTCGAAGCCAGAGGCCGCAGATGATAACATCATGCCCTGGAGTAAATCCTAGAACCAGGCCAAAAACAAAGGGTATATGCTGCTAATCTACTACAACACGCCTTCTTCCCTCATGGCGCAAATGGCGTCACGGACAACGTCTCCGAGCTCTCTGATAGTCCCCTTGTCACGAGGTAGTGTGTGGCCTTTGGCGTGGTCAAAAAGATACGCCGAGTCTGGGTCGCAGACATTGTAGAGCGCCATTGAGCCGTCCAGGTAGGGATCCAGGGACCCGACTGCAGTATAGTTAACATTGCCAGGTTCGTGACTACTTATTCTTATCAAGAGACCGACTCACTGATGTGTAATGTCCTCGACTCGATGCGCTCCTCAGTCTGGTCCGACAGCAAAACAGAGTAATTCGTAGGATCGACGGGCGGCCAGCCGGCGAAGAAGATCCCGTACTTGAAGAGGGGCGTCGCGCCAGACTGCTGCTGCCGGCGCTGTTCGTGAAGCATCATCGTCGCAGCGACCGTCGCGCCTTCAGAATAGCCAATGATGCCGTCAAAAGGACCCCTCTTGGCCACAATGTCTGACAGATACTTGATGGCCTGGTCGATGCTCTTGCCGGATGATGCTCCCTCCCTCATGAGCTCCCGCATGGTGTCTTCTGGTGTCTCGCAGTCGGGAAAGTCCCGGATGCGCGTTAGGACATCCTCGTCATCGGATATCTCAACGTCTTGATCGGGCTCTATGAAGCGGTAATAAGGCGGCTGGCCGAAATACTCCTCAAAGCCCTCGGGCGGCACTGCTATGCAAGGGCCGTGAACGAAATGGAAGGTGGCGGTGCCGTCGTCGGTCAGTTCTTTGAGAATGGGAGCTTGAAGTCTGTCAGCAGCGTTGGATTCAGCCCACAAGGTTGGAGCATACCCAGTTGGACTTGGAATTTCTAAGTCAGGTCAGCTAGCTGATCTCATTCGGAATGGTTCGCAGACATTAAACTCACATCAGAACTGCCGTAGGCGCCAGGAAGACAGAGAAACTTCATGATTGTTGCCGTTGATACAACGCTTTCAAGTCGGTTCAGCGCCGGAATTCGTGAGTTTAGCCAAATCAAAGGGCCTTCGAGAACAAACGATGTGGAAACATGAGACTGGATAGAGAACAAGGTAAGGTAGGATTCGCTTCGGATGATGTACGTGATCGCCTCAAGGTCTACCCAGCGCTCAGACTCCTGAGGATCGAAAGCCCAGGGACGACATGACTCCCAAGGGACCCCGAGTCAAGTGAGCTACACAAGCAGACACTGCCCCTTGCGCTTCGCAACTGCGTCGCAGTGACGATGCCCGCACAAGCGATGGCTCACACAACAAGAAGCAAGCCCATTCACAGCAAAAGCGATCCGCAGAAGCTGAAACGATTGACAGCATGGTATCGTCAGTGTTTGAGATGGCCCTTGCTTGGCGTGGGGAATCGCTAGCCAGCGATCATGGTTCCATTGACGGCGCCTACCTACGATGGTATGTGAGCTACCGCCCGCGATGCCGTGCCATCAATTGGTCTGGCCCCGTGCGCCTTGACGATTTGTGTTGAATTGACACGTGAGAATGCCCATGGGCCTTCGCGGGTGAGGGGACCGGCCCAGAAGCCGCAGTCTGTTCTCCGTCCGAACGTCAGGGGTGGTGCGTTGGTGTTGCACTGGTGCCGCTATTCTCCAGGCTTTTGGGCCTCGTCTGATCGGTATACTCAGCCTTCCGAAGCGACCATGGCGCAATTCTGGTCTATTTTTGATAGAGGTGTAGTTTGCGAAGCCACGTTGAAGGGGGTCCCGAATGAAGAGAAAAACAACGGCATCCGTGACAGCGTCTCGGTATGTCCAAACGAATATGTAGATGTGATGCTCGAGTACCTGACTCACCACCCAAGTGAGAGCCAGGGGATCTTGGAGGGGTTTTGATTTCACCCAGAGACGTGCTGGGAGGGATGCTTGAAACAAGGTCCCGATTACGCCCTGAGAAAGGATTGTTATGAGAACCGGCAACGCCTCGTGCCCTTCTCAGCCCACCAGCAATGCATCCAGGCATCAGATCTCTACCTCAATATGGGTTGTGCCGTATTCAGGGGTCGAGCCAACTCCACAATCCGGGGTCTTACCGATGGCGCACTGACTTCATCCTCACTTACCCTCTCGCAACCGGTGCTCAGTCCTCGCCCAGTCGTCTCATTCTCCTCAGCGAATTGCTTTTGCATTCAGGGCCCTCGGAGCAATCAAGCCACCGCTGCCATCAGTGTTCATTGTCTGTGATCGCGCAGAATGCTCAGTCGGCTTTTGCCTTGAGGGGCCAGGATCGCAAGTCTAGCGAGGAAGCGCTCCAAGTGGCCGGGTGCTTGCTGGCGGCTAACGTCAGTTAGTCAGGTCCCAATTGAAGTAGCTCGCGAGTCGTGATGAGACGGGAAGCCCCCTGATATCTCAGGTGTCCCCGTGGCACTCGAGCTAAGGTAGGCGGTTCGGATGCCGTAGCCCATGTCGATTCGGCTGCAGCTGATCTCACCCCAGCGTTGACCCTGCACCCTGTGCCATGTCCTAACCTACCCACGCTCCCGGGCGATCCCATGCGCCGGACTCATGGTCCCGCGGCAGAGCATCTCTGTGGCCGATCTGGAACCTTACTTACTCTGGGTCATATCAACCGGCCTCGCCCGTTTCCATCTGAGCAACAGAGAAGTCTTTGGTCGTTGTCTGCCTTGCCTTGTGCGTTTCTTTGCACCAAACTACTTCACTTCGTCTTTCTTTAACCTCCTCCTGGACGAGTGAGTTTGCCGTGACTTACACCATTTCCTAAACCACAATTCAAATACCCACAGCAGCAGACGCGGGGATCTGTGATCTCCCCAATTAATACTCCATCATGGCTCCTGGCATCTTGTCATACTCGTCCCGCGGCACATCACCATCAGCCAGCGCGGGCGTCAAGACTCCGGCTACGCACTCTCACACATCCTCCGTCGACTCGCTATCTGGCCTGGCCGTCGGCCCGTACGATGGCAGGCGCCTTGATGGCGTCCGTCCAGACGGCCCTGCGAGCAGGAGCAGCAGCAGCAGCGGCTTTAGCAGAGCCAGCACCGACGAGCACGTCGACCCTGGCGCCTTCAGAAACGGAAGCGCCGGCCGTCCTCCGAGCCAGGACCAGAGCAGCATGCCCATCGCCATTGTCGGCATGGCATGCCGCCTGCCCGGCAGCGTCGCCAGCCCTGCCGAGTTCTGGGAGCTGTGCTCGCGCGCCAGGACCGGCTTCACGCCGGTGCCCAAGGAGCGCTTCAACCACGACACGTTCTACCACCCTAACCCGGGCAAGACGGGAACGTACCACGCCTCTGGAGGCAACTTTCTGGACGTCGACCTTGCCGCGTTTGACGCCCCCTTCTTCGGGCTGACAGAAAAGGAGGCCATTTCAATGGATCCGCAACAGCGCCTGTTGCTCGAGTGCACCTTTGAGGCGCTCGAGAACGCTGGCATCCCCAAACACTCAATCGTCGGGGAGGACGTCGGCGTCTTCATTGGCGGCAACTTTGCCGAGTACGAGAGCCATCTGTTCCGAGACAGCGACACGATCCCCATGCACCAGGCCACGGGTGAGCCTCATCTCCTTTTTGTCCACTGTAGATTTCGTCAGAAGGCCTTGCGAGTACTGACATGTGACAGGCTGCGCACAAGCAATGCAAGCAAACAGGCTATCCCACTTCTTCGATCTTCGAGGCCCTAGTTATACCGTCGACACAGCGTGCTCTTCCAGTCTCGTGGCGCTTCACCAGGCGTGTCAGAGCCTGCGAACCGGAGAGTCGAATCAAGCCATCGTCGGTGGCTGCCATCTTAATATGCTACCCGAATTTTGGGTGTCCTTCTCATCATGCCGGTTAGTGTCTCACCTCAAGTGTCGGAAGCAACCCAGACTGACGGCGTCACAGCCTTCTATCAGACTCGGGTCGCTCAATAGCTTTCGATAACCGCGGAACCGGTTTCGGCCGCGGCGAGGGTTGCGGCATGATCGTGTTGAAGCCGCTCGACCAAGCTCTGAGGGACAACGACTCGATCCGTGCCGTCATCAGAGGCAGTGGCATCAACCAAGACGGCAAGACGCCGGGAATCACAATGCCCAACGGCTCAGCGCAGGAGAAGCTCATGAGACAGGTCTACCGAAATGCAGGCCTCGACCCCTCCTACTGCGGCTACGTCGAGGCCCACGGGACGGGCACCAAGGTTGGCGACCCCCTCGAGGCCACGGCCATCCACAACGTGCTGGGCCAAGGAAGGACGGCGAAAGATCCGCTCTTCATCGGCTCCGTCAAATCGAACATTGGCCACCTGGAGGGTGCATCTGGCATCGTTGCTGTCATCAAGGCGGCCATGATGCTGGAGAGGAACTTTCTCCTGCCGAATCACGACTTCAAGACGCCAAATGAGAAGATCCCCTGGAGCGAGTGGCACTTGAAGGTCCCCGCCACACAACGACCCTTTCCGCGAAACAAGAAGTACATCAGTGTCAACAACTTTGGCTTCGGCGGCACCAACGCGCACGTCGTCCTCGGCAAGGCTCCCTTCCCCGCAAAGCGGTCGGAGAGCTGGCAGTCGACAAGGTCGGCGACGCCCGACGAGAAGGCCCGGAGCAAGAAGCTCTTTGTTGTCTCCGCCAACGACAAGAACTCGGTCGCCGCAGTCATGAAGCAGATGGTTATCTATCTCGAGCAGAGGCCCGAGATCTTCCAAGCGGACCTCATGAAGAACGTTGCTTACACACTCGGATCTCGACGATCTCTCCTGCCATGCCGTGTGGCCATCCCTGCCGCCGACTCCTTCGAGCTCATCGAGGCTCTCAATAGCGGCAAGCTCGTGCCTGGAAAGGAGAGTGAGCCTCTGAGGATGGGCTTCGTCTTCACTGGTCAGGGTGCGCAGTGGTACGGCATGGGTCGCGAGCTCTTCGAGCAGTATCCCATCTACGCTGCCGCCATCGCGCGGGCTGACGATTGCCTACGAGCCTTCGGTGCCGACTGGAGCCTGGTCGAAGAGCTGAATCGAGATGCAAAGACGTCCAGGGTCTCTGAGGCGCACATTAGCCAGCCATCTTGCACGGCTGTCCAGCTCGCTCTGATCGATCTGCTGACGGCTTGGGGCATCCGTCCCACGGCTGTCGTCGGCCACTCGAGCGGCGAGATTGGTGCCGCATATGCTGCTGGCGTCATATCCTTTGAGGCGGCCATGTCTGTTGCGTACCACCGCGGCCGCATGATCCCAGTCTTGAAGCAGCGCTTCCCTGACCTCAAGGGCGCCATGATGGCCGTTGGCGGCACAAAGGAAGAGGTGCAGCCCATCATCGATGCCATTCCCAATATCAGGATCGCCTGCTTCAACAGCCCGTCCAGTCTGACCATTTCCGGCGACAGTGCTGGCCTGGACGAGCTGTCCCAGGTCGTCGAGGCGAAACAAATGTTCAACCGTCGCCTGCAAGTAGATGTTGGATATCACTCCCACCACATGAACCTCGTCGCCAAGGAGTATCGTAGTGCTATCCAGACGCTTCCCGCGCCGCAGAAGACCGCTGTTCGCTTCCACTCTTCCCTGCACGGCGTCGAGATTGACGGCACCGAGTGTGAGTCCCACTACTGGGTCAACAATCTGACCTGCCCGGTCCGCTTCGCCGAAGCGTTCGAGACGATGCTGCAGCCCGTCGGCGACCACAAGACGGGCGTCAACATGATCCTCGAGCTGGGCCCTCACTCAGCCCTCCAGGGTCCCATCAAGCAGATCCTCAAGGAGCTGGGCGGCCCTGCAGCCAAGGTCCCCTACGCCTCGGCCCTCGCCCGCAAAAAGGACGCCATCGAGTCGGCCATGGACCTGGCCGCCACGCTCATCACAAAGGGAGCCATGCTGAACATGGACGCCGTCAACTTCCCCCAGTCGGACGCCCTGTCCATGGCCAAGCCGCCCACGCTGCTGACAGACCTCCCGCGCTATGCGTGGAACCGCCAGACGCGGTACTGGCACGAGTCACGCATGACGCGGATGCACAAGAACCGCGAGGGCGCGCGCAGCGACATCATTGGCGTCGAGGCCATCTACTCGAGCGACCTCGAGCCGACGTGGCGGAACATGGTGCACCTCGACGACTTGCCCTGGCTGCGGCACCACAAGGTGCAAGGCCTGACCATCTTCCCATTCTCCGGGTTCGTGGCCATGGCCCTCGAGGCAGCGGCGCAATGGTCAAAGCGCAAGGAGATGGCCTTTGACAGGTTCGAGCTCAGGGGCGTCAACGTTGCCAAGCCCCTTGCTCTGTCTGACACGGCAGACGTCGAGATGACGATAAGCCTGCGCCCGCAGCAAGAGACGTCGTCTGCGTCGACGGAGGCGTGGTACGAGTTCCGCATCTGCTCGTGGAGCCAGGCGAGCGGATGGACGGAAAACTGCACCGGTCGCGTTGCCACGCAGTGTCATGCGAGCAACGATGTCGAGAGTGCTGAGCAGAAGGCGGCGTGGCGAGAGGGAGCGCAGGCTATCGTAACCTCTCTGAGTGATGCGGTCGCCATCAAGGAGGCTGACATGTACGATTCGCTCGCTGAGCTCGGTGTTGGCTACGGGCCTGCTTTCCAGGGTATCACAGAGTGCAAGGCGTCTGATGTTTGCTCTGTTGGGAACATCATCTCACCTGACCTCGCACAAGATATGCCGAACAACTACATGACGAGCATGGTCCTCCATCCTACATTCCTCGAATCTGCCATTGAAATGTACTGGCCTGTTCTCGGCGCTGGCAGGGAATCGATCAACACAGTCTACCTGCCTTCATCTCTCAGCAGGATGGTCGTCTCAGCGGACGTCACAGCACTCACCAAAGATGCCGGGAGCAGCCTTCGTGCTTTCTGCAAGGCCGAGTTCCCTGCTGCTGCCTCACAGCGCCAGCCTACCAAAGTCTCGGTCCTAGCAGCATCATCCGAAGACTCGCAGAACTTGATCCTCGAGATTGATGGCCTCACAGTGTCTCCACTGCTTGACGGAGCGACTGAGACAGACAGCAACCCCGCGCGCGAGCTGTGCTACAAGATTGAGTGGGAGTCCGTCACGTCCTTTGAGGAGAAACCTCTTCTGAGCACTGCCGACATTGTCATTATCCATGGCGAGTCCAACTCGCAGCAGCTCATCGCCAACGGGCTCGCCATCGCCATTGCTAGCGTGACGGGCAAGCTTCCTGAGATGGGCGGCCTTGGCGAGGTCGCCACGGAGGGCAAGCTCTGCGTCGTCCTGACGGAGATTGACTCGCCATTCCTCGCCGCGCCCACCGAGGCGCAGTTCACCTCTGTCCAGAAGATGCTGACGACCGTCCAAGGCGCCCTCTGGGTCGTCCGAGGCGCGTACGCCGGCTCCACGTCACCTGAGAGCAACATGATCCTCGGCCTTAGTCGGACGGTCCGCTCCGAGGCCGTGCTTCCCTTTGCGACGCTGGATCTCGATGGCGCGAGCCAACTCAATGACAGCGAGGCCAGCTCAGCTATCATGAAAGTTTTTGGCCTCATGTTCGGCGTCGATGCTTCGTCGCCGAGCAGGGAGCTTGAATTCATGGAGAGGCGGGGCGAGTTTTTCACGCCGAGGATCGTGCACGACGAGGTCATGAATGAGCAGGTCCATCGCGAGACAAACCCTGACGTCGTTGAGGCGCAGCCTTTCGGCCAGGGTGATCGGATGCTGAAGATGGACTTTTCTGTTATGGGGGATGTTTCGCACTTTGTCGACGACGAAGCTGGCCAGGCGCCCCTTGCGGACGATGAAGTCGAGTTCGAGGTCAAGGCCGTCGGTGTCAGTCTTCGAGACGCCGTGCTAGCCAAGAGTCATGTCGTCGATGCAGAGAAGCAAGCCCCAGGCGTCGAGGCGTCAGGTATCATCACAAGAATCGGCAGCGCCGTCACATCCTTCTGCGTCGGCGATGCGATTGCCGCGCTGACGTTCAACAGCTCTGCCTTTGCCACGCGTGCCCGTGCTTCTGCTTCAATGGTCTTCACGTTTCCTGAGACGCTTTCTTTCAAGGATGCCGCCAGCCTGCCCCTGGCCTACTGCACAGCCCACTATGCGCTCATCGACCAGGCTCGCCTCGAAGCTGGCCAGCGGGTTCTGGTCCACGCGGCCGGCAGCGGTATCGGACAAGCGGCGCTACATCTCGTGCAAGATGTAGGCGCCGAGGTGTTTGTGACTGTTGGCTCGGCAGAGGAGAAGGCCCTCGTCGTGGGCTCCTTTGGCGTCTCAGAGAACCACATATTTTACAGTCAGGACCTGTCCTTCGGGCCCGCTATTCGGCGCGTCACCGCTAACGACGGCGTTGACGTGGTTATCAACCTACTCCCGGGAGCGGAGAGCCTGAGAGAGAGTTGGGCGTGTCTCAGTCGTTTCGGCCATCTTGTCGACGTCGAACGTGGCGACGGCAGCTCGGGGGCTCGCGTCAACCTCGGGCAGTCCAACAGAAATGCCTGCTTTATGAGCGTGGATGTTTTCAGCCTGGCCCAGCACCGGCCAAAGGTGATGGAGAGACTTGTTGCGAGTGTGGCGAGGCTTGTTAGAGACCGCAAGGTGCGGTCTCTTGCGACATCTATGGACTATGGAATTTCAGCCGTCGATGCGGCTTGCAAGGCGCTCCAAAGCGGTCCCGTGTTTGGCAAGGTGGTTGTGGTTCCACAGGCGAACGAGATGGTCATGGTAAGTTCTTCTTCTGCCTCAAAATCATCAGCACCATCGCTCACAATTTCAGGCCACGCAATGCAAAACCGTCGGCGCTCTGCTGCAGGCCCAGGCAACCTACGTGCTGATCGGCGGCACAGGTGGTCTCGGGCGCAGCATGGCCCGGTGGATGGTCACCCACGGTGCCCGCAACCTTGTCCTCCTCTCCCGTCGTGGGTCCATCACCGACAAGGTCCGCGTCCTCATTGAGGAGGCAAGCGCTCAAGGCGCCAACATTGCAGTCCGCTCCTGCGATGTTGCAGAAAAGGCGAGCGTTGATCGTCTCTTCACACACCAGCTCGATGGCCTACCTCCCGTCCGCGGCGTCATTCACGGTGCCATGGTCCTCAAGGACGTGCTCTTCGAAAAGATGACGTGGTCTGACTACACAACCGTCGTCAACTCCAAAGTCCAGGGCGGGTGGAACGTTCACGAGGCGCTGATGCGTCAGGACGCCAAGCTCGACTTCTTCATCGCCATATCCTCGGCCTCTGGCGCTGTCGGCAACCGCGGACAGGCGGCCTACGCTGCAGCCAACACATATCTCAACGCGCTCGTGCAGCACCGTCTGGCGCAGGGTCTGCCGGCGACGTCTCTCGATCTGACCGCCGTCTCGGACGCCGGCTACCTCGCCGACAGCGGGGCCGAGCGCGCGGCCGAGGTGGCCAAGAATCTGGGATCGGACAGCATCTGTGAGGCCGAGGTACTCGCGCTCATTGGCGCGGCCATATCTGGGAAGACGTCAGTGTGCAACGAGCACGTCGTGACGGGAATGCGCATCACGTCTACGGTGCAGCCCTTCTGGACGCCAGACGCCAAGTTCAAGACGATGCGGATCGCGGCTGAGGAGCAGGCTGCCGCCGAGGCGGGCGCGGCTGGATGTGCGGCGGTATCGCTGAATGCGTCCCTGAGAGCGGCACGCAGCGAGGCAGATGCCGAGGCTGTGGTGTGCGCTGGTCTCGTCGACAAGATTGCCGCCGTGCTCATGATGGAGCCGGAGGAGCTGGATGTCACGCGCAGCTTGTCGCACTACCCGCTCGACTCTCTTGTGGCCATTGAGATCCGAAACTTCATCACGAGGGAACTTGAGGCGAACATGCAGGTGCTGGAGCTGTTGAGCAGTGGCAGTATCCAGACACTGACGAGGACGGTCTGCAAGAAGAGCAAGTGCTGTGTTGGGTTGGAGTGGACTGAGAGTTAGATTTGTGGTGTTTTTGGCGTTGATTCGATATCCTAGGCAGTAATGATTCGGTGATGCAGTAATGATTCGGTGATCCATGCGATGCTTTGCTTCTCGAAATATGGGTTTGATGATGTGAAGCCCCGGTGCAAGTTGAACGCGTCGTCGTCGACGTCGACGTGACGAGGCACCTTTTGCTGCATATATCTGACAACACGATAAAGACGAGCTTGATGATTAAGCAGCATATGCACCTTACCGAGTCCGGGCCCGCCGAAATCATGCGCGGGCGCGCCTGTGACATCCCCTTTTCATTTCGCATCCTCAACTTCGTCACTCGTCCCTCGGTTGCAAAACTTCAGCCCGCCCTCTTGATCTGCCCCCAACAGACACGGCCACTCCGTATCGATCCACCAACCACCTAACCGACCGAGACACCCATCGCCATCGCCACCGCCAACATGTCCATGATCACCGACTTCAGCCGCTGGCTGCACCTCAAGCAGTACCAGCTCGAGGTGACCTTCTGCGTCTACATCTTCACCCCCTGGGAAAAGTTCGCCTTTTGTACGCCTGCCTCCCCCCGCGCTTCTGCCTCTGGAGCACAGGACGTGAACAAGAAGGCATACGTTGCTAACACCCGCCCAGACACGATCCTCTTCCTCCTCAGCAGCCTCACCTTCATCGCGACCGTCCTCTACCTCCCGCAACACATCGCCTTCATTGTCGGCCGCGCCTGGTTCTACATGAACGGCGAGCACGTCGACGTCGTCGAGCTGACGAAGGAGGCCGTCGAAGGCGCGCTGCACCAGACGGCTGGCCTCGTATCAACGACGGCGGCCGCGTTGGCAGGAGAGACGGCCGAGGCTGTGGTGCGCGAGCTCTGAATGGGAAGGCATCATGCGACGAGCGACTTGCAGTGTGTGACGGGGAAAACTGGACGAAGACTACATATCAGCGGTGCGGTTGGATTTCGCCGACAATGACGAGGCACCACACACGCTGGGGCTGTACATGGCAACGGAAAGCCAAGAGAGGGCGGCGGCATGGGATCTGGCGTTTTGTACCTTGCCCGACTGAGACCGCAGGTTCTCACGTAGGGTTCTGGCGTTTTTCGGGGAAGTGGAGGGAGGAGGGCCTTCCCGGATCGGAAGCCCTCTCTGTTCGACGAGAGCATGCGGCCTGTTCTTTTTTTGCATAATCATACCATCATAGACTTAATATCCGTCTGCCGTCTAGCTGAGAACGGAGGCTTGCATCTACACGACGGCTTTTCATTTCCCCCCTTACGCCGAGACCAGCCCCGGCAAGCGGTAAATCCTCGTGGAGCTGTCTTCTCCAGCAACGGCCAGCTGGTACTCCTGGCTGTCATCGTCCGCGGGGCGCCAAGCGAGTTGGAGAACCGTCGTAGGCAGACAGAGGCTGGCGGATTGTTAGCATATGATCTATGGGAACAAGAAGAAATAGAAAAGGATTGAGGGGAGTGTCCCAACATACTGCTCTGGCAACGGCGTGCTGCTGACCACCTGCAAACTCGTCGCGTCCAGCGTGTGAACCGCCATCTTGCCAGACTCGGTACCCACCGCCAGCACCAACGCCCCGTTCGCAAGCGTCCTCCCCAGAAAGTCTACAGCCGTGACGGGCTCGCCGCAGGCAACCTCGGCGGCCTGCACGAACGCCGTCTTGCCATCGTCGGCCGTCTTCGCGCTCCAGACGCGCACCTTCTTGTCTCGTCCGGCCGTGGCGAACGCCGCCGGGCTCGCCGACGGCGCCCACGCCGCGTCGAGGATCATGCGGCTGTGGCCCTTGGGGTTCGCCTGCAGGAGCTGATAGCGCGGGGCGCCCTCGCCGTCGCGCTCAAATACGGCCCACTGCCGGTCGCGGCCGACGCTGAGGAGGTACCGGTCGTCGCGGGAGAAGCGCAGACGCGTCGCGGTCAGGGTGTGCGCGGCCAGCGGCGGCCTGACCTCGACCCACGTGTCCGTCTCGAAGATGCGAATGACGGCGTGGTTGAGGGAGCTCGCTCTGCAGGCGCTGGCGACGAGCTTGCCGTCGTGAGACGTGGCGAGGCACGAGATCTCGTAGCCGTGACCGTAGAGCTTCTCGACCTCGGGCCACAGCGTGTGGCGGGAGAGGCTGTCCTCGAAAGGGGGGTGGTCAATGTCAAGGGCTGTTGTGCGAACGGCGGGGGCAGCATCGGCGTCGGCTTCGGCCTCGACATGGCCAGCCGGGTCAGCGGCGTCGATGGCCTTGTTGGACAGGCCGAGCACGGGCATGTCGGCAGCGTCAGCAACATCGTTGACGCCGGCGTCCTGATCGGAGCCAGATCCGTCCAGTCGGCCAAGGAGCTTGGCAACGGCACGCGGCCGGCCAAAGACGCGCATGAGCTTCTCGTCAGCGCCCGAGACAAACTGCGTCGCGCCCAGCGTGTCGATGCAGTTGAGGTCGTACCCGTGGATCTGGGGCCTCGACATCTCATGCCACGTCTCGCCGTGCCCCTCCTTCCAGCGCCCGTGCAGCCTCGTCGTCTGGTCGCCGCTCGTCGACACCAGGGACTCGCCGCCCTTGGCCCACGCAATTCCCGTCACGGCCTTTGTGTGTCCGCTGATGGAGAGCGCGGGCTTCCACTCGTCCCTCGCATCGTCCCACACCCAGCGCCTCCAGCTACCCGTGCGGCCGAGACACACCACCGACTGGCCGTCAGGCGCCCACAGGCCCGTCCAGAACCCGCCGATGCTGCCCGTCGCTGTCGTGGCGCCCTTTTCGCGGCTAATGTCACCCAGTCGTACCATGCTGACCCAGATGCCCGACGCCGGGTCCGCTTCCCAGATGGCGAGAGAGTTGTCGGCTGACGTGGACAGGAGCTGCAGGGGCCTGTTGGTGCCGCCGCCACCTTGTTCCGTCTCAGAACGGAACCACTTTGCGCTGTAGATCCAATCTTCGTGGCCTAATAGGAGCGCCTCGAATGTGATGGAAAAGACCTTGTCGCAGGACTGCAGCCGATGGGCCTTGTTGGCAGGTGACTTGCCCGGCAAAAAAGCACTTGTGGCGGGGTCGGCGTTGCTCGTCATGGCGGGAAGTTCGCTGCCCTGGTGGAGGCGCCAGAGACGGACGTATTTGTCCTGGCTCGCGGAGGCCAGAAGAAGGTCGCTGTCTGCGGCACTGCTCTCCCATGTGAAGTCGAGCGATCGAATCCAGCCTTCGTGGCCTGTCAGGGTCGCCTGCAGCTGGAAGTCTAGAGAGGCGGCTGTGTTGGCGGCAACATGGATCTGGATTATGTCCCTGGTGCCTGCCACAGCGAGAACAACGACATCGTCCCCGTGATCGAGGGTGCTCAGGGCGAGAGTGAGGGGGAAGAATTTGGGTGTCGGTTTGATGGTGCTCAGAAGGAGGAGTCGGCCTGCCTCGTACTTCCACACTCGGAACGTTGCATCGGCAGCACCCGTTGCAATGAGGGTCGGCGTCGAAGGATTTCTTGACTTGAGGATGGCAATAGTGTTGATGGGCGCCGTGTGATCCGTCAGAGTTTGGACGCACTGCCCTGTAGCGTGGTCTGCGTTGAGCTCCCACAGCTTCAGCGTCTTGTCGTCAGAGCCGCTGATGATGACCTCGTTGCCGCCTTCCGTTGGCGGCAGAAATTTGACCGCCTTGACCGCATCCTTGTGACCACTCAGGATGCCTGCAATACCAACATGACTACTTGCCTAGAGAATTTCCTTGTGTCAGTCACTGGGCCTGATACCAGGTAAGGTCAGGGGCACTTACAGATGGTGTCCAGAGGCAGATGTTGGAGTTGGCACCAAAGGCAAGCACACCAGACTGGCTCCAGTCGGCGACGGCAGTGTGCCTATTAGCACCGGTAGAGAGATACTCGGCCGTTGCTTGGAGATCGGGCATGATGTGACGAGGGGATGGCTACGTGGTAGATGGTTGATGGATGAATCCAAGGACTCATCAATTACCGTCTTCTGATTGGTTCATGACAGTGGCTGGAAGAGTTGACGTCGAATTTTCTGTGCAGAACAAGAATACGGCGGGCTGTTCGGCTGCTGTGCTGGTGTGCTGGTGTACGGTGCACCATGGCCACGAGAAACATCAAAACACCCCGAGGCACCGCCCAAGGGGGGTTCTGCAACGGGCGCCCGCATCCGCTGTCAAACTTGCGGCTCCATTCCACTTCACCACCACACACAGCCTCCATCCAGATCCAAGATCAACGTCGGGGCCTCCGATACCCTTACACAGCACATCTGCAGCAAGGTATCTCTACTGTTCAAGACACAAGCATGGAAGAGACATCTCTCACCGTCGAGTTCTCGTGAGTCAACTATCCGCATTGAACCCCCCATCTTCAAGACTTTTTTTGAGGGGTCAAGGGGGTGTCTTTTGGAGGTACCAAGAGGCAGAACCAGCCTTCTTCGACTTCACCCGCTCCCTTGCCTCGTCGCACGTCTTTTTGTTTGCGTTTTGGCTGTTTTATTTCCCCCGCTGACTGACCTTTCCTGCAGAGGCGGGCTCGAGATGCTATTCGAGGACCAGCGAAAGCATGCTGTCTCGATCCCTTCGCGCAGCGAGGATGGCCAGCCTGCGACCATTGCTCATCTCATCGACCACCTCTGCAAGAACGTCATGAAAGACAGCCGCAAGGAGCTTTTCGTCCTCGATGATCACATGTACGTTATGTCATGTCCAGCCACTCGCCCGCTTCCCCTCCCCCTTACATCTCAGGCTGTCTGTCACAGCCAGCCAGTCGTGACACTCCCTGGGGTCCCGTCGAGCCTTCATCACAAACAACCTTTCGCCTGTGTCCAGTAGTTGAGCTGTCAACTGCCTATCCCCCCCCCCCCCCCCCTTCTTCCCCACCTTGTCGACAGATTCCCTCATCATCAATCTTTTGTCAATGGCTGATCCGTCTCACCCAGTCGACCGGGCATCCTAGTCCTCATCAACGACGCAGACTGGGAGCTGGAGGGCGAGGAGGCCTATGAGCTGAAGGCCGGGGACAACATCCTCTTCGTGTCGACGCTGCACGGTGGCTAGAGATGCAGAACCAGAATCCGTCTTCCCCCTTGGCCACCCACCCCCCCTTGCCTCCCATTCGGCTCTTCCGCGCCGCCAATCACAGCACCGTGATGCATCGTCGAGGCGTGTGTCAAGATTGTCGCTCCATGTCCTGAGGAGGATGATTCGTTCATGAGTGTCAGAAAAAGCTGAAACTCACGGACTCGTTCTAGTCCCTCGTCCATTTCAGCCATTCGCAACGCCCAGCCTTGCTGACTGCCTTGAGCCCCCCTCCCCATCCTTCAATCTACGGTAGGTAGGTAGGGATGGAGGAGGGGGACAAAGACCTGTCAGCTTTCACTTGTCAGGAGTGGACAGAACAATGAGAGCCTCAGAATGGACGTTCATTCATGGCAGTCTGACTGGGGAGAGTGGGAGATTGCGGCTTACGGTTCCTCGTGAACGGCCAGGATAGCTGGCGGACCTCAGGGGTCGGGGGCCAGACGCTGACGAGGAGATCGCGAGTACTTTGCCTGTCAATCCTCGCAGCGCAAAGGATGCAGGCGATACAAGCCAAGAGGTTCGGAGGTCTGCGCAGATGGAGGCTCTCAATTCGTTGAGCTCGGGAGTGACGGTCGAGGTCATCTCCGGGTGGCACGGTTAGATCGAGGGGGAAAAAGGGCGGTGCCACATGTGAACCAGCAAGCGAAGGTCTGGGCGTGGTTTGGCCGGCGGCCCGCCGAATTCGGCCTGCCCTCAACCCCGGTTCCAAAAGGG